TGCTCCAAAACTTTTTCGTTTCGCATCCTAGACTAAAACACACCAGTAATTATCGGTTGTGCTCGTCAAGGAACTATTAGAACACCAAACAGAATAATTTTTTTCCGAGATAAATTTTCCACCCCTTGGACTTAGTAAGAATAAGATACAAATTTTGGTCGAAATTTGTTTTTGGATTTCAGGAGTTCTGATGAGTTTTCCTATGGCCCCCCTAAGAGTTATAAAAATTAATATAATGAACCTTTGCCCTAAAGTTGACCAAACAAAAGATATAAGCCTCGCAATTTTCAAAAAAAATTTTTCGATATTTCGATGCTCCAAAACTTTTTCGTTTCGCATCCTAGACTAAAACACACCAGTAATTATCGGTTGTGCTCGTCAAGGAGCTATTAGAACACCAACCAGAATAATTTTTTTCCGAGATAAATTTTCCACCCCTTGGACTTAGTAAGAATAAGATACAAATTTTGGTCGAAATTTGTTTTTGGATTTCAGGAGTTCTGATGAGTTTTCCTATGGCCCCCCTAAGAGTTATAAAAATTAATATTATGAACCTTTGCCCTAAAGTTGACCAAACAAAAGATATAAGCCTCGCAATTTTCAAAATTTTTTTTTCGATATTTCGATGATCCAAAACTTTTTCGTTTCGCATCCTAGACTAAAACACACCAGTAATTGTCGGTTGTACTCGTCAAGGAGCTATTAGAACACCAACCAGAATAATTTTTTTCCGAGATAAATTTTCACCCTTTTGACTTAGTAAGAATGAGATACAAATTTTGGTCGAAATTTGTTTTTGGATTTCAGGAGTTCTGATGAGTTTTCCTATGGCCCCCCTAAGAGTTATAAAAATTAATATTATGAACCTTTGCCCTAAAGTTGACCAAACAAAAGATATAAGCCTCGCAATTTTCAAAATTTTTTTTTCGATATTTCGATGATCCAAAACTTTTTCGTTTCGCATCCTAGACTAAAACACACCAGTAATTGTCGGTTGTACTCGTCAAGGAGCTATTAGAACACCAACCAGAATAATTTTTTTCCGAGATAAATTTTCACCCTTTTGACTTAGTAAGAGTAAAATAAAAATTTTTTGGATTTCAGGAGTTCTGATGAGTTTTCCTATGGCCTCCGTAAGAGTTATAATCGTTATCACAATGAACTCTTTAACTATTTGGGGGGCTATTAAAACCCATAAAATAATTTAGAATTTTTCATTTTGGGGGGGCCTATATTTAAATTTTTTTTTAGAGTTCTGATAGCCCCCAAGGAATTGTTATAATTATCCCTTTGAAGTTTAGCTCTAAAATTAATAATTAAAGAGTTATAAGTCTTGTAAGTTCCACAAAACGGGATTTCATTTTTTCGTAACTTTGCGTGGTATTTTCGGTTGTTTAAACAATATAAATTTTTTTTTTAATACCTGAGAACTCTGTAACTATTTGGGGGGCTATTAAAACCCATAAAATAATTTAGATTTTTTCATTTTGGGGGGGTGGTACTTTTTAGGGGGGGCCTATATTTAAATTTTTTTTTAGAGTTCTGATAGCCCCCCATGGAATTGTTATAATTATCCCTTTGAAGTTTAGCTCTAAAATTAATATTAAAGGTGTTATAAGACTCGTAATTTGCACAAAACGGGATTTCCGTTTTTTCGTAACTTTGCGTGGTATTTTTAGTTGTTTAAACAATATAAATTTTTTTTTAAATACCAGAGAACTCTGTAACTATTTGGGGGGCTATTAAAACCCATAAAATAATTTATAATTTTTCATTTTGGGGGGGGCGCTTTTTAGGGGGGGCCTATATTTAAATTTTTTTTTAGAGTTCTGATAGCCCCCCAAGGAATTGTTATAATTATCCCTTTGAAGTTTAGCTCTAAAATTAATATTAAAGGTGTTATAACACTCGTAAGTTGCACAAAACGGGATTTCCGTTTTTTCGTAACTTTGCGTGGTATTTTTGGTTGTTTAAACAATATAAAGTTTTTTTTAAATACCAGAGAACTCTGTAACTATTTGGGGGGCTATTAAAACCCATAAAATAATTTAGAATTTTTCATTTTGGGGGGGCGCTTTTTAGGGGGGGCCTATATTTAAATTTTTTTTTAGAGTTCTGATAGCCCCCCAAGGAATTGTTATAATTATCCCTTAGAAGTTTAGCTCTAAAATTAATATTAAAGGTGTTATAAGACTCGTAAGTTGCACAAAACGGGATTTCCGTTTTTTGCAACTTTGGATGGTATTTTCGGTGGTTTAAACAATAGAACTATTTCTAAAAAGTATAGGGAACTCTAGAACTCTTGGGGGGGCTATAGGAACTCTCAAAATTTTTAAAAAAAGTTGAGGATGGGGGGCCAACTTCACAGAGGTCCTTAAAGGCGAGAAAGGAGTGGACCCAAAACAAGTCTGAGCTAAGCAATATTTATGTTTTATATTTTCCAAAACTATAAAAAATGCTTACTGTTTAATCAATTAAAACCAAGCTTCTTAACCAATCATATTTTTATTTAAATATTCTTACCAGTTTTATTTTAATAAAACTAAGAGCCAAGCTACTACAGCTGATCCAGAAGGATATCAGAAGCTTAATACGGGCCTAATTTGACCGGTCTTAAAGAAGGGCTCCATGTATAACTTTAGTAATTTTATAGGCATAGTACCCCTTTCTATTATAAGATAATGACCAATACTCTGCTAAACCGAAAATATCAGCATTACGAAAATTTAGTAAGCGACCACAAACGATTCAGAAGAGTTAAATACCACGCTAGACCAAATCTTCATCCTAAAACAAGTGATCAAAAAACGAAGAGTGGCTCTGAATTAGCTTGTTTTTAGATTTTGAAGCAACCCATGATTCCGTGGATTGAAACGGTTTCTGGAAAATCATGACGATAGGGAATTCCTGGGTAGTTAATGAGACTGATGACGGTGTGTACGAATGATCCTAAGTGTTAAGTCCTAATACAAGAGAAGTATCTGAAGCCTTCAAAGTTCGAACTGAATTGTGGCATGAAGAGGGACTCTTCCCGATATAGTTCAGCTTAGCGATGGTTAAGGTGATAAGAAAAACATCAGGTGAAAATGGTAGAGTGCACGTCGGAATGAATCATAAAACCCTTGTATATGCAGATGATATAGCTGTTCTCTGATAAGAGAAGCAGGAAAAATCTGTCTACAAACAAATGAAGATAAAGCTAATTATATGACAATAAAGCGAAAATGACACCCCAACCAAAGGATCTGCGTAGAAGGGAAATCGCTCCCGAGAGTAGAAAAATTCAACTTTTCCGAGTCCACAATAACATCAGCGAATGACCAACGACCAGAAATAGATCAGAAAATAACAAGCGGAAACCAAATTAGTGTGTACTGTCTCTTTTAAAGGTATCAAAATTTTAAATAATCTTTAGACATTTCAAATTAAGGGTGTACAATAATATGATTAAGCAAGTTCTGATAAACGGTGGTGAGATCTGGCCACTAATAGCATCTTAAAAAGAAGTATTGAAAGATTTGAGGAATCTGGGATCAGAGTCAAAAGCATGGAGGAAATGGGCCATCAAAGAACTGCTAACATGGAGAGGGCAATCAATATCTCATAATATGGAGGCAAGAAAATTAATATGGGCAGAACAATAGCAATATAGCTCGAAGGAATGCATCAGGAAGCATCTACACTTCAATGAATTCCTCAAAAGTAGACAAGAGACCACGTGGAAGGCCAAAAAACAGATAGATCGATTCAACCATATTGGTGCAGAGCTGCATGTTATATTGGGATAACTGTAAAGCAATAGTCCAAGGTAGGTAGAGATGGAGAGCGCTTGTTAAGGTGGAAAAAAGATCAACAAGGTTTATAAAGCTAACGGAAAAATATATATTGGGTTTTATTTTATTAAAATATAAATTAAATTTAAGAATCATTATAATAACTTTAAGAATCCTTGCCAAACTGCAAAACCTTTCTCTATCTAACAATGTCCTGCGGAATGGTTTGAGTGCATCTGGTAGCTGGCGCAGATTAAATTTTATCTTATAGATCTTATCTGATCTGTTTTCACTATTTGCCGCAACGCGACAATCGGGTATAATAGCTTTCACATAACAGCCTTACTTAAAAGATTTCATCACCAAAGAGAGGTGAATGTTACAATATTGAATTATTTTATATGTATTCAATAGTTACTGTTTTACTATTGCTTTAATACACAGCCAATTTAAATGTGATAAGCCTAATTTCAGGTTATTCTTTCTTTTATAACACCCTGGGGCTAGCACAGGCGGATCTTCGGTAATATGGTAAAATATAACCATGTTCTATGAAAAAAATTATCTCTGAAAATATTATTGTTCATCTAATTACATTTAATAAGACTTCAAGAATCACTGAAACACAATTTCATATAGGTAGTTAGTTTCTTTCTTTCTTCCGCAGTAATTATTCTAATAAATACATACAAAAAAAAAATCTTTCGAGCTGAAGCCCCCCCCCCCAAATGGAATTCTGGATACGTTAGTGGGGGATAGGAAGTAGGGAATCTTAATTCAAAGATAGATGCTTGAACAAAAAAAAAGAACGAAAAGGACGCTTATCGATTATTTAGGACAGTGATATATTTCATTTATTTTAAATTAACACATATTGTACACAAACTTTCCATTGTGCTTTTATATTTGTTCTTTGTATTGGAGAAAGTCTAGCTTAGCTCTCTTGAACATCAAGTTTAACTTTTTAAACATTAACTAAAGGGATGGAAGGTTTATAATTATAAATGGACATAACTCACTTTATCCCTACTAAGTAAAAGTTGCTAAAATGTTGAGTTGGAATAAAATGTTTATTTAATTACATACAATTAAAAATATTTTTTAATTTAATTAATAAGTAAACATATTTTAAAGTAATTTAATACGATTAAAAAAAATATTTTTTTGATATTTTGTTCAAAAGCACAAGATGTTTTTCCACATTTTTTTGTGTTGTTGGCTTGTACTGCTGGACCAATGAGATAGCGACAACTAGTAACCTCAGAATACTTTATCCTTTCTTGATTAGACAACTTCATTTGCCGGCATCGTATGCTAAGCAATGTTTCGTTTTATGTTTTTATTCCCCTCATTTCTATTATTCTTTCTATTAAATGAAATAAATTGCTCTGGCGATGTTCTGGAATTAACTGATAGTGATTTTAACACAAGAATCAAAGATTATGACTCTATGCTTATTATGTTTTATGCTCCATGGTGAGATATTTTTTAAATTGTAAATTAATTCTGTTTTTTTTTTTCTCTTGAATTTGTTTTCTATGTTAACTGTTATTTTGAGTTTTTGAATTTATTTTATGGCCACTATAAATGCATCTTGTATACAACTTTAGCCATATTCCTTGTTAGTTTTTAGTTAAAAATGTAAATTTGCTCCACCCAAAAAGTAATTTGACTAAGAGATGGGTGGCAATTCAATCTCAGATTAAAATATAACGAAGTTTTGCATTATCAATTTTGGATTTCAGGTGCGGACATTGTAAAAAATTGAAGCCTGAGTTTGAAAAAGCTGCATCACTATTATTGGCACATGATCCTCCGGTTACTTTAGCTAAGGTGAGTTAAATGTGCTGTTCCTGGAACTCCGGGAATGATCCCACTCACTTAAGGTCTTTTAGTCCTAAAAGCACCTAATACTATATCCTAAATATATTGTAATGTTTGTTACGAACAATCTGTTAAGTTATAGCTGTTTCTTTTAATAGATTTATCAGAGAAAGTTCATAAATTCGCCTTATGAAATTTATTGGTTTAACACGGAAACGTTTATTATATGTTGAAAAAAACTGCATGAACCTTAGAGTAATATTTTTTTACAATTTTTATTGAAATTCTTTGTAATGTCTGAACCCTGTCATACCCTTTTACTGAACCCACGTGATTGATCTTCAAGCAACAGGAATTGACAAACAGTTTCTGTTAACAGTTTAGTTACTAGCTAACTTATGTCATTATTGTGGGTAGTTTTTGTCCATATCACTAATTTTACTGAGTTATATTCTTTACTGTTACTTTATTTCTATGTTTTTAATGGGCTGAGTAGACCTATAAAGTTGGTTTGCTGTACTGTGTACTTATGACCTGTGGTGAATTAACTTTTGTTTTATTCTCTTTCCAGTTAATTATTTTATATAACAGCCTTTTCTCTGTTACTCTCATGTTCCAAGACTAAAATCTGATTGTAAATTCTATTTCCTATTTTAAATGTTATTGAAAAAATTAATATTAATGATAATTTTTAAAAAAATTTGATCAGTTGTATATACTGTGTAATTTTATATTTTTGAATTTATAAGTTGTAATTTTAGTCTAGATTTTAGATCTAGATAAAAAATTTCTAGGAGAAAAAATTAATATTTCATATACGAAAGTTAAAATTTTAAGTAATTTTTTTTAAATTTCATTTTTTCTGAAGTTTTGTAGCTTTTTTTTTTGTGTCCTGCTGAAAATATTTGTCTAAAGTATTATAGTTGGTCATAATGTTAAGTTGTAAAGGGAGAGGGATATATTTGTATCTATAGAGATGTTAAATTTAATAATAATTAATCACTCTCCTCTGTGCCTTCTCGATATTTTTGCCACTACTTTGTATTTTTCTACAATATTATATTCTATAATACAATAAGTAATATAAAAAAATCATTTCTGGAAAATAGTGGTGTGTACTGTTTCTTTAAACTTTAACTACTCATCTATATTCTGGTGCACTTAAAATCACCTCGTGTCTATCTGATATGATAATAAAATTAATTATTTTATTAAAAATCTGGTTCAATAAAAGTATAAACCAATAAAATATAAATTAAATTTTATTAAAATTGTATTGCATTGCACAATTGCAGGAAATATATTTTTTTGTGAAATAAAACCAGAATACAAAATTTTGTCCAAATTTAAAATGTCTAAAAAAATACTCTAAAAATATACCCTCAAATTATTAAAATTTTATTCTTTAGACTGTTGACAAACGTATGAATGTTTTATACAAGTATTTTTGTTGCATGTGGCACAAATTGTGTTACACTTTGTGTCTATTTTGTGACAAAAGAAAAAGTTTAAATTTATGACACTTATCACTAGTTCTTCCACCACTTGTCAACTAACCACATACACCCCACACTCTCCCAAGTGTAAAGATAGTTTTATTTGTTTTTATCTAAGGAATAGGGAGTTTTTAGGATCTTATCACATTATCTACTGTCCTCAATTTAAAAAAAAATTGTATTAGGTCGTATGTTTAGGGTTCAAAATTATTGTTTCTAAATGCCACTATGCATTAATGCTTGATTTATTTTATAAGTGATTAAGTAAAGGGAAGGATAAGCTTCTTGTTCTTTGAATAATATTGTAATTATTGCAGATTTTTTGATCCTCTTTTTGTTACATTGTAGAAGGTAGTAACTTCTGATTAATTTATTTCTTTGGAGTCAGTATTTTTATTCCAATGTCTAATTAGTGTCAACTTATGTCCCTTAAGATCTCTTAAAATTTTACATTTTTACGTTTGATCAAAAATGTTTTTAAGACAATTAAAATCACCTTGGGTCAAATGTGATACTTTTTGGTTACACTTACAATCACCTTGGATACATTTTTTTTTTGTTAATGAAATTTACAACTATATAGAATAAATATACATATAGTAAATGTGGTACAGAAAAATATAATAGCATGAATGGAATTGTAGAGAATCTACCCATTGGTAGCACTCTAAGGGTCAAATACAAAATTTCTATTTATTGTACGTTGGTATGAATCAGGTGATTACTTAAAGAAAGTACCTAACAAAACAGAACAATTAAAGGAGAATTAGTTGAGAGAGATGTGTTTACATAAAAAAAAAAAATGATAAAGAAAACTTAGTCGGGTCATAATGACCCAAAGTAAGTAGGCAAGAGTTAAGATGGCACTAATTATCGATCCTAGTAGAAAATCTGAGTAGAGTGATTGAGTGAAGATGATTTAAGGGCATCATTGACAATCACTTCATTCCATTTTTATCTACATATAAAGATTCATTCTGCTGCTGACCATTTTCGAACTCATACTAAAATTCTAAGCAATATTAGAAAAATTACCTCTTAATATTATTAAAATTGTGATAATGAAACGAGTGGAATTAAAAACTTTTTACATTTAATATTCCTAAGAACTTCATACAATATTTTGAATCGAAGCCATGTAGTATCTACATTTTTTATTTTAGCCCTATTAATAAGTTTGAAAGCATTTATTCAATCGAGTTCTCAGTTAATCATATCAGTATGCATTGTTTATTTCATGTTGTATGTATTATAATTATTTTGCCATTTATTTGCAAGAATACATCTATATTTACATTCAAAAGTAAAACAAATCAAATAAGTCATTCAATTATTTTTTAAGTTAGAACTTGAACCTTGTTCTGGAAGAACTTTAAATTTTTAATGAAATAAAAAATGGGAAATATGATAACATTATGACAAGTTTATTTTATCAACTTCAAACATTGATTAAAAAAATAAAATAAAATAAAGTTTTCATCACACATACCATAATACTTTATATATACTCTCCCTTTCTGTGGTTATTTTCCGTCATTCCCTTATCAATAGAAAGACAGTAAAAAGTGAAGATGCAATGTCTTGTTTCATTTGGATACAATTGGCTATAGAAAGCAATATGTTGTGGGAGAAAATCTCATAATGCCTTAAAGGGGAATATGTTTACTGAAAGAAAAGATTTTATCCAATAAACTACTTACAAACTCCTCACCTGATTCAGAAGAAGAGAATACCTTGACAGTTGCTGCTGTCTATGGGTACTATGCAAGAGGATACTTGGGAACTATGCAATAGATATCATACTTGACATGTTTCTGTTTTCAAAGTCCAGCAGAGTGGATTCCAGTTGCAATATGTTTGAGCTAAGCAATATTTATGTGAAGGTTTTTGTTCAAACATTTTTTTGAAAATATACCAAAATATTAGAAAGTAAATTCACACCTCAGCCAAGGAGAGTGAACCATGAAAAAATTGTAGTAAAAACAATTTCATGTATAAAAAAATTCTTTTAACAATATATGTGTAATTTAATAGGAAAAGAATGTTTCACAAAGCAATGTAATTCGACTAAATTTAAGAAGAAGCAATTGCTGTGTGTATAGGAGTAAAATTCTCTGTCTCTTTCCTAACGTGTGAAGTTTTGTTTTAAATTCTGTTTTACTTGGTTCTTTCTTTATTGTGAACATGGCTCCTAAGCAAAAATTAGGGTGTAAGAAAAATTGGACTTAACAAACAAAATGAAAAACAGAATGATAAATAAATATCGGGTGCGAAGAAATATGAGGTTGATGACAGTTACAAATCAATGATATATAAGAACTGTAATTTTGGTTATTAAATTGCCATATTTCTGTATATCATTTTCCTCCCCTAGATATAGGCTAGAGATAGATAGAGGATCGATATATAAAGGTTCGACTATACACGCCTAGAAACTATTTATGTTGTTTCAAATTTTTAAAACTCTCGGAAATAAAAATTGTATTTTCTCTGATAAATCTTAATTAATTGCATTTTATTTTGAATAAAAAATAGTGATTATACTTTGATGATTTATATTTGAATGAAGTAATATATGTTTATTATGATCAAATATCTTTTGTTGGGGTGCCATGTTTACATTGCTGAAAAAGAAGACTATTTATAAACTAAATATAGTATTATTTCTATTAACTTAACTTGTTTTGTATAAAAAGTATTTTTTTCAGGGTGAATGTTATTTCATTAAACTTTACGTCATAAACATAATATTCAAAGTAGCAATGTAACCTTTTTTTCTGCACACTTTTTCCCTTGGTAACTTCAACCTATTAATCCCAGAACTTGTAAATCATTTTCAAAAATAAAATTGTCCAAATTCTGTAAAAGAAAAATGAAATTCATATAAAGGAAAAAAATTCTTAAAACATTTCCAAATTCTTTAAAATCTGTTGGAGACAAATGTGGAAAATTAGATGGTTTCTTAGAGAACTTCAGAACTAAATTCTTATATATTATTTCTCAATATATATCCCTTTTCCGGCTCTCAGGAGTAATGGATTTTGACAAATGAGGTATCAATAGAAAGGGAATGTTATATAGAATGCGCGAATTGTAGTTTTTATTCCTAATTTTATATCAGGACTTAAATAAAAGGTAATGCAAAAATGGGAGATTTGAAACCATGTGATGGTGTCATCTCAACGAATCGAGACATTACAAATGAATTCATAATTTGTGAATAACTATAAATATGTCTTCCATTAAACACTTTTAGAATGTTTGTCAATGTGCTTCAATTACATTACCTTTTACTTTTAGACCTTTGTTATAAAGTTTATCATTTTGAAAATACGCTTTCAATTTTTTTTTTAATAATAAAGTAATATACATCCTGATTAGTCTAACTATTCCTTCCTTTTTTCTTTTACCGTTATCAGATTTAAAGTAATGTTTAGAAGCTTTTGTATAGAATTCCAGTGCTGTAAAAAGTTACTATTTAAATCATAAGTTTAAGGAAACACAATGGTTAAACCATGGTAGAGTGTAAATCATTTTTACAAACTGATAGCTTCCTAAATATATGTATTAAACCTTTGCATATCAAATTTTATTGAATGGAAGTTGTGTCGAGTTCTTAATATATTAAAATCAGATACAAATATTAGGTTTGTGCAGAGTATTTGCACGGGTCAGCGATTGTTCTCTTTATGTTCTGACTCTGTGATGGCTTTGGGGACTTCACATACCATTATAATCATTATGAGGTTTACCAGAACTATTGTAATTGTTCCGAATTGATAAAAATTTATTTTATATCATAACTTTTATACTTGATACATTATTATAGATTTTTACTTACATTTAAAATAAATTTCTTTGATTTATTTTAGGTTGATTGTACAGAAGCCGGAAAAGAGACTTGTAATAAGTTTTCAGTATCTGGGTATCCTACGCTTAAAATCTTTAAGAATGGAGATTTATCAAAAGAGTATAATGGCCCTAGAGAAGCAGGTAATATTAGTTTTCCTTCAAATAAATTAATGTACATAATGTTAGTAAATTAATTATTGGAAGTTATTTTAAAATTTGAAGTAATATTATACTGTTTTTATATGTTCTTTTTCTCTATTTTAGCTGGAATTGCTAAGTATATGAAAGGGCAAGTTGGGCCTAGTGCCCGAAATCTACCTGCAAAGGATTCTCTCAATAAATTTTTAGATGAGCCAGACCTGGCAGTTGTAGGATTTTTCGAAGAATCTGCTAAATCAAAAGATGATTTCTTAAGAGTTGCTGATAAACTAAGAGAAAAATACCGCTTTGGAATTACTTCTAGCCAAGAAAATTTAGAAACTTACCAGTAAGTTATTTTAAGTTACAATATATTGTGCTTCATATTGCACATCCTTAAAGATTTTATAGGCATTCCTTTATTTGTCAGTTTATATATATTGTTTTCTTCAAAATAAAGGTTAATGTTTGAATCTGGCATTAAGATATCTTGTCGCTCAAACAGTATTGAAAATAATATTAGTACTTACTTACTCCACAGCTATTAGTATTTAATAAAAATTTTTAATGGCATAATACTTTTGATAGATCTGCAGATTTTTTCATTTCCTTATTTCCTCTCTCTTATCTACTGTCCAGGCAGTGTAATGGCATAAGATTTCTATTTATTTTTTAAAAATATTTAATTTAATTTAAATAACTAATTGAATCCTATGCTATGTGTACAGGTATTGATATGCATATATCACCACTTGAATAAATTTCTTGCAAACATAAAGTTATATTCTTATAAGTTCTGTGTTATGAAAGTATATAATCTCACTATTAATATATTTTTTTCTTTTCAGAAATAAAGTGGTTTTATTCCGTCCTAAACATTTGCATAACAAATTTGAACCATCCAGTATCGAATTTGAAGGTGAAATAAGCGATGGACTTGAGTCATTCCTTAAAAAGAACATGTATGTATATCTTAATTCATTATTTATTAGGTATAGGTGTTTCTGTAAGCCACAGAATGTTTTAATTGGTCACTAAACTTCTATTTTATTCTGCTTTTTAATTCCTCTTACACAATGATTTTAGACTTTAGGGAACATTAGTAATAATACACTGACAGGCAAAAAATTCCACCCACTTGATTTTTTCATGTTTTCATCTAAAAATATTTCTGCTTTGGATTGGTCGATTGTTTTTAATGAATAAATAAGTAATCTTTTTGTTTGTTTTCAATTAGGAATGTTAATATAGAGGACAATAACCCTTAATCGTTAATTCAATGAAATGAAATGATTCTAGATTCCAATGTTTACTTTCTATTGAATCAAAATGTTTATTCAATATCATTAGTTCAGTGCCGTTTCTTGCAGCACATTTCTTAGTCTCCGGCTTTTAATTTTTTCAATATTAAGTTTAAAAATGCCTCTTAGTGCTGAGGATGTTGCGCGTGGTGTGGCCCTTTTTGATGATGGACGTTCCATTAGATATGCAGCTAATTCCACCGGAGTTCCATATGAAACTTTACCAGACGCCATCAGGGGTTTTCGGGAAACTGGTACTTACAATAGAAGGCCCAGTTCTGGACGGCCTAGGGTAACAGAACCACGGGATGACCAGTTTTTTACTTTGAGAATATTACGAAACCGGCACCTTACCGTTGTTCAAGCGATTCATCAGCTCAAAGAAGTTCGAGGTGTGCAAATCTGGGCCTACCGCTCGGAGAAGATTAAATGAGTATGGATTAATGGCTTTCCGTCCAGTAAGAGGACCAGAGTTGACCAGAACTCATAGAGTAACACTGCTGGCTTTTGCTCGAGAACACAGCCATTGGACTATGGACAAATGGAGTGCTGTACTTTTTACAGATGAGTCAAGATTCGCTCTTCGATCTCCAGACGGGCGTGAAAGGGTGTGGAGAAGAAGAAACGAAAGATATGCAGCCTGTAATTTTTCCCAGAGCCAACCTTTCCAACGTGGTTCCTTAATGGTGTGGGCTGGGATTTCAATGGAGCGCCGCACAGAATTGGTTGTTGTTCGTGAAGGGTCTTTGACGGCCATTCGCTATGTAGATGAGATTTTGGAACCTCATGTGTTGCCTATCCTCAACGAAATCGGCGATCATTCTATTTTAACGCACGCCCACATAGTGCAGACGTTCCTTCAACAGAACAATATTGAGGTTATAGCCTGGCCAGCACGTTCTCCAGATTAGAACCCCATTGAGCATTTATGGGATAACCTCGGAAGACGAATAAGAGCGCGTGCAACACTTCCTGATACACTGCAGGACGTTGAAAGGGCTCTTTGGGAGGAATGGGCTATCCTCCAGCAAAGGGACATTTCCCGACTGGCGGAAAGTATGCCGAGGCGTCTTCAAGAAGTAGTGAAGGAAAGAGGAGGAAACACACACTACTAAACGATGATGTAATTAATTTCTTTTAGAATAATAATAGTTCGTTTTGGAATATTGGAATCTAGAATCATTTCATTGAATTAAGGATTAAGGGTTATTTTCCTCTATATTAACATTCCTAATTAAAAATAAACAAAAAGGTAACCTATTTATTCATTAAAAACAATATACCAATCCAAAGCAGAAATATCTTTAGATGAAAACATGAAAAAATCGAATGAGTGGAATTCTTTGCCTGTCAGTGTATATAGTGGTTCCTAAGTTTATAGGCTTATTAATACAATTTGTGTTAGTATTTAGTATTCTGGGCTTTTTTATGTTTTATGTATCATTGCTATCTCAGTTAATGAAAGTCTAGTTACTTCTTGAAGTTATCATATTTCATTTTATTTGTTTTAGACATGGATTAGTGGATCATAGAACTAGGGACAATGCTGAAGAATTTAGCAATCCACTTGTTGTTGCCTATTACAAAGTCGATTATATTAAGAATCCAAAAGGTAATGCTTAATACGCTACACATATTTTTATTTATTAATAAGTCTGCTATATTTGAAGCAACCCAATGTAATTGGCAGCACCCTTTTATGAAAATAAAGTGATTCTCTCTCTTTGTTTAATTTTTAGGGTTTAATTTATAAATGATAATCGTTTTTAAGAATAGAAAGTTGTTCAGAAATATGCAGTTCTCTATATTTTTCAACATTTAGTGATCTTATAAATTATGATTTTATTAATTATTGATTTGCACTGATTAATTTTATTTCAAACCATAATGCTTATAAACCATTTAAGCTTTTTGTTAACTATTTTTTATAAATCCACATCTTATTAAAATCTCTAAACATTTTTTTAATGATCTCTTCAAAGAACTATTTTGACTAGTTCAAAATTATCTTGATTTCATAAATTCCTTTTGTGAGATATTTTGAAAGGAATCAATCTCTTTGTTGTCATAGGATATAGAGAATCTTCTTAAAACAATCCGACCTCCGTTCATCCAAATATTAGATAAAAATGCATACATGTGCACTTAGATAAATAACCTATCGATTGAACCAATGACACTCTGTGCTCCTATTACTCTGTTTATGGGGACGAGGTTTGTGAACATGGCTGCTCTGCATTATTCACACGTGATCTTTGAAGGAACATGTTGTCTGAGCTAGTGACAAATGCAAGTTGTTCATTTATTATTTGGTTGAAGATTATAGAAGACCTCCTCATTTTTGCGGAGGAAAATTTTATGAAGAGGGAGCTAAAAATGACTTATTGTTATACCTAAGATCTCAAGAATTAGAAACTTAGAAATGAATGTTTTTGTTATTACTTAACGTCTTTTGGTTCCTTTACTTTTCTTATTTTTCATTTTCTCTCTTTGAAATCCTGAGAGAAGAACAATCATCTTTAAAAACTTCAGCAGTAATTGCATAACACTTCCAATGTCCTTCCATGCATTTTCTTCAATTTTTTTTCTTTTTTAATTATTTGAAGCTAGGATTCCGCAAATATGGATATTTTTAGTATAATTCAATAAGTAGAATACATTGGCTAAATGCTGTTCATAAATTTGTTTCACTTCCCTTTGAATTTGAGTAAAAACCAACAACCACAGGAGCACTCTAGGGAATTCTCGAACTGTTGCACGCTTGGAGTGCTGTTCCACTATCCATCACGTTCACGAACATAGTGGATACCCAGCATAATAACAATACACTTATGAGCTAATTTACAAGATAGGAAGAATGCAAAACAAACATAATTAGAAAAAAAAATATCAGAATACTATATTTGACTAAGTTATTCTCTAAAGTTATTTAGAGGAAGAAGGCTTTTCTCTCCTTATTGGCATACAACATTTGTACTGTAGCACATCTTTAACATTTTCAATTGATAATTTCATTCGCCAGAATTATAGGGTTGTTCATTTTTAAGTTAAAAATAAAAGTTTATATATGAATTTATTTTAAAAAATAAGTTCACAGACAAAATTTTATTATTTCTATACTACTACTAAAAATTAATTCTTTAGACTCAAATAGTTTATTTATACAATATCTGTAGTATTAAAAATGAATAAGTAAGAGTTTTAAAAAAGCTTTTGTCTTTTTTTACTTTCACTTACCTATATATATAATATATCGTACCCTTACGATTGTTAGTTTAGCGGAATTCTTTGCTACAGGTGTCACTTTTGATGTTTTCGAAAATTGATACAATTCAAATTTACAATTGTAAAGTAAATTAATATTACAGTTGACATTTTTTTTTGGTACAATGTTTTTTTTAGGATTCAAGGATGCTATTTTGAATTTCTCCATCGAATTTACAACAGGTATTTACTGTTAATATACTGGTTATTGTTGAAGTTGTATTTGATACTCAGATGAGTTGATTAGCTTCTCAAGAGTACTGATTACATTTCTTGAATGGGATTTTTTATTGTGTATACTCATTCATTATACTTCAATTTTCACTTTCACTTACCTATTTATGTAATAATTAGTAAGGGTAAGTATTGCGATCATAAAAAATTTTGAATTTTGAAATTATTATTATTATTATTGAAGGAGTTTTGAACGGAAATACTCGTTTTGAGGTCCCGTGAGTCCAAATAATCAAGTCCTGCAAAATGGTATGTGTGTGTGTATGTGAACAGCCTAGCTCAAACACGAAAAGATGTATGAGATTGAAAGACCATATTTGAGGTTTTTATTATCCTTGGATGTTACAGCAACATTTTTGTCAAAATTGGCAAATCGGAAGTGGTACTTTATATAATTGATTTAACACATTTTTACAATTTTCTCAAAAAAAGTTCTAACGATTTGGATTAAACTCAGTATATCAGTGTATTATTATGCAGTTATTAATATAATGTAGGTTTTATTCTCATTGATGTTCTCTTACAGAGCTTAAATGGCTACATTTCAATAGTAGCTTCCTCTAGAGTACCTGTTATTTAATATATTTGAAGTAATTAACTATTTCACATTAATCTTTGATGCAAAAAATAGTTAAATATAAAATATAAAAGAATTTGATAATTAACTAAAGGAGAAATAAGAGATTGTAATGGATAATAGTTGTAATAGAGGAACCATTGGAATACGAGCGCGCCGAAAGATTGGAACAGGCTTCCATTCGTAACATCAGTTTAATATAATACGGACTCAGACAATATTATGTACATATACCTATGCGGTTTTCATATATGCTATTGTTAATATTATTTAATGTTTAATTGTATAGAATACAGAGCTATTAAAATTAAAGTTTGTCAATATAAGGGTACTTAAACAAATTAAAATATCCACAATGAACATAAATAAATATAGCGTCTATAATTTTTACTTTCACTTCCCCTTTTCTGAAAATACTTATTTCTGCGAAGAGGGTGGTAAGTGAAAGTTGTGTGATGCGCGCACCAGATGTTTTCCTTAGGAATTTCTTCAATATGAAGTTTTCCTCAAACAAACTCCTACTTAAGCAAGTCTCTCTATCTCTGCCGGTCCATTATATCCTTCTCCGACAGTCCCCTACCAGCCATACTCTCCACCACTCGATCCTTCCATCTAACTGGACTGGGGTTTTTCCTCTCCTTCTTCTACCTCTGCCTTCCAATTCATAATTATCTTTGGTATCCTATCATCACCCATTCATCCATTTTTTCTTTCTTCCATCACCTCTAGGATATTTGGTTTTATGACCAAAAAAAGGATAAAAATAAAAATATAATAAAATAATTTTTAATAAATATAATTTTCCATAGCAATTTTTATTTGTTGGGTGCCTGGCTTAACAGCCTTTCATCTCTAAAGAGATAAATTAGAAAACAGAAAGTACTTACCCTTTAATGGCCATCATTACATATTTACTCTACCATGCTAGCTCAGGTGAGAAGGGGTTAGGTTGGATAATTTTTATAAAGCAGCAAAAAGGTTAACAGATCTATTTACAAAAAGAAATATTTACAGAATTAATACTATGTACAATAAAAAGAAATAAAATACAAGGAAAAAGAGGGAACTCAAACATAATTACTATATACAATTAAAGTTAAAAAAAGAAAGATATTTAAGATAATAAAGATAATACAAATAACAAAAAAAAGATACTTATTTTATATACAATATTATGGCATGCCACATCCAAAGATAGTCAAGATACAATAAGATGTAAGAGTACATGCACATGCTAAAATATCAATTAGTCATCTGCTCAGGAAACAAAAGAGAGTTTGTTTTGTTTCCAGTGCTTTCTTAATCTTGGTTACAGTTTTATTTCCAATCTCTCCCTTATAGTGGCATTTCTTACCCTTTCGATCCTCGATATCCTAGCTGCTCACTTCCGGAAATCTATTTCAACTGAAAGGAATGGAATTTTTTTCCTTAGAAAAAGTATAAATAAAAATAGTGATTTGGTTATGAAGGAGTGATTTTTTTTCGTGTGTGTTTTTTTTTAGTTTTTTTTACACACCCCATAATTCTATATACAAATAAAAATTATATTTTGTATAGAGGTACAAATTTAGCTGTAGCATTTCCAAGCCCTCTCCACTTGAAAGGTGACTTTACATTTAAATTGTAACCCAAGTGGGCGTGTAGTAATTCTGTTTTATTTAAAAATAATTATTTTAATTTCAATAAAGTCTTTTGGAATAATTTCACCATATTCTTACGATATTGTTTTTGTTTATTAGATAATTCATATTAAGTGGTAATTTCAACTAGTTAAGATTTCTTTCTTATTGTGATTGTTAACTTGATTCTTATAAATGTTGAAAACAAATTTACTATTGGGTTTTAGATCACATAAGCACATGCACACACACAGACCATTTGCGACACTTGGTTATTTGGACTCAGGGGATCTCAAAACATGTATTTCCGTTGAAAACTGAGATTCGAAAATTTTCATGATCACAATACTTACCCTTACTATATATTACATATATATGCAAATGAAAGTAATACCCTTACTACATATTACATATATACATAAGCGAAAGTAAAAATATTTTAAAATCGCTATATCTCTACTAATAGTGCTTTGATTTTGATGAAACATCTTTCATTTTTTAGGCAATTTAAATACCTTTGAAACATCTTATCATAATATCCCCAAAAAAGCGCACACTATTTGAGTTATTCGGAATTTAATTTTACCATCCCTGGTAACTTTTTTTCGTTGAAGTATGTTATATAGATAACTTTCTAGAGTGTCGAGAAAATGACTTTAGCAAAGTTTCATTGAAATTGGTTCATTCGTTTTGGCGCTACAGTCTATAGCAACGCAGGTTTTTCTGCATTTTAATTTTTTTTCTCATTTATTAACTTATCAAATTCTTTCAAAAGTTTTATTTAGCATTTTTTTGTAACTCTGAATAATGCGAAATGATTAACTTTTTAAAATAAACCATATTAAAGGTACTTTAGAGGAAGGCATATATGAACATTGGTCATTTAAGCCCTGTAAAGTGAAATCAACGGGGATAAGACTTAAATGATATTAAAGACCACTTAATTATACAATGATACACCGAGTTTAATCAAAATCGTTAGAGCCGTTTTTGAGAAAATTGTAAAAATGTGTTTCAGCGTTCATATAAAGTGGCACTTCCGGTTAGCCGATTTTAACAAAAAAGTTGCTGTCACATCCGGCCCATATACAAACCTTAAATACTTAATATCAGTTTCGTACTACTTTTCGTTTATGAGCTAGACTGTTAACACATACACACAGACCATTTTGCGATACTTGGTTATTGGGACTCAGGGGACCTCAAAACATGTATTTCCGTTGAAAACTGGGATTCAAAATTTTTCACGATCGCAATACTTACCCTTACTATATATTACATATATACGTAAGTGAAAGTTAAAAAATCTAGGGTGGGCATCACACGGCTTTCACTTAACACCCTCTTCTTAGCATAAGTAGTTTCAGACAAAGGGGAAATGAAAGTAAAAATTATATATGGTATACTTATTTACATTTCATTTTGGTTATTTTTATTTGTCTAATTACCCTTATATATACTAATTTAAATTTTTATATCGCTGTAATCTATACAATTAAATATTAAATAACATCGATAGCATTTATGAACACCGCATATGTATATGTACATAATATTGTCTGAGTCCTTATTATATTAAACTGATGTTACGAATGGAAGCCTGTTCCAATCTTTCGGCGCGCTCGTATTCTATGGTTCCTCTATTACAACTATTATCTGGTAAGACCTCTTATTCTTCTTTTAGTTAATTATCAAATTCTTTCATATTTTATATTTAACTATTTTTTATATCATCATAGGTCAATGTGAAATGGTTAATTATTTCAAATAAAAAAATTAATGGTACTTTAGAGGAAGCTAATATTGAAAATTAGCCATTAAAGAACATCAATGAGAATAAAATCTACATTGTATTAAAAACTACTTAATAATACACTGATATACTGAGTTTAATCAAAGTGTTTAGAGGAGTTTTTGAGAAAATCGTTAAAATATGTTAAATTGATGATATATACCACTTCAGGTTTGCCGATTTTGACAAAAATGTTGCTGTAACATCCCAAGCTTATAAAAACCTCAAATACGCCTTTTCATTTTGAGCTAGGCTGTTTACACACACACCATTTTGTGGGACTTGGTTATTTGGACTCAGGGTACCTCAAAATGTGTATTTCCATTGAAAACTCAGATTCAAAAATTTTCACGATCGCAATACTTACCCTTACTAAATATTACATAAATAGGTAAGTGAAAGTGAAAATTGAACTATAATGAATGAGTATACACAATAAAAAATCCCATTCAAGAAATGTAATCACTACTCTTGAGAAGCTAATCAACTCATCTGAGTATCAAATACAACTTCAACAGTAACCGGTATATTAACAGTAAATACCTGTTGTAAATTCGATGGGGAAATTCAAAATAGCATCCTTGAATCCTAAAAAAAACATTGTACCAAAAAAAATGTCAACTGTAATATTAATTTAATTGACAATTGTAAATTTGAATTGTTTCAATTTTCGAAAAAATCAAAAGTGACACCTGTAGCAAAGAATTCCGCTAAACTAACAATTAACTTGAAATATTCTTTTTCAAAGGAAGCGAGGTTGCTCAGTGGGTGAGCACTGACTTCCAGAGCTCAAGGTCCCAGGTTCGAATCTGGATGAGGACTAGAAATTTTTCATCAGCGATGGGTCGATCCTTGGGCCGGAAGACTCTCCTGTGGCAAACACAGCCTCTATAAAGGGGTTACTCTTAAATAATTAATTAAGGGGTAAAATCTGGAGAGGTTGAGCGTGATATTGGCCCATTATCTCTCTCCACAACCATTGGCCTTGTAACAGTACTTCCTCACATTGTTCTGAACCCAAGACCCTTCATGGGTTGTTAGTGGTACAGGTTTTTTTTTCAGTTTGAAGTGATGATTAATATTTGCCTATTTCTTCTATTTATATTCACTATAATATTTAGTTCTTCAGTATAATATTTTTAGATATTTTATTGATCTTGACTTAATTAGATACTTATACTTATTGATCCTTAAACATGTAAGGATTGTGTTCAAACTGTTTATTTATTAAATAAATTCTATTTCTAAGTGCTTTAAATTATCTTTTTGGTTATTTATTTCATTTATTTGATTTATTTCAGGTACCAATTATTGGCGAAACAGGATAATTAAGGTTGCTCAATCATTTTCAAATGATTTTAACTTTGCTATTAGTGCCAAAGATGATTTCCAACATGAATTAAATGAATTTGGTTACGATTATGTTCCTACTGAAAAACCCATTGTTTTCGCTCGTTCCAAAGATAACAAGAAGTTCATCATGTCAGATGAGTTTTCGTAAGTTTTGTATATTTGTCTCAACTTTTATAATTATTTTCTATTTTATCTATAAATTTAATATCAATGTATAACCTGGATTGTGGACCGGTAGTTACTAGTATTAAGTTTTTTTGCAATTATCAAGTTTCTTGAGTTATGATATTGTTAAATGTTAAATTCTATTTTCAAATACATATGTGTGTAGCTTAATTATTTTTATATTAATGTAAAAGCCCTCTATAGGCTGGATGATTTACAAGTTTAAAGAGAGCTAACAATCCCATGGTTTCCCAAGATCAGTATTTACCTATCCCATTCCTAAATTGTATTCCTTTGATATACACTGACTATAACACTATGGGTGGTGTGCATACTCGTTTCTCTAACTCTTCTGTAATACGTCAATAAGAAATACTTTTATGAAACTTGATGAAAAAGGATTCTTTTCAACCAACCACATTGGTTGCCGAAACGCTTCTATGAAACAATAGTGTTATTGTAAATTGTAGCACTTTCGTTTCCTCCTTCCTACTCAATAAATACTTAAACATGTTTTTTTGCCAGTATTTAAGATAAGAAGGAAAATGCGTTTGCAAACAATCCTAAAAGGATTCCTTTTAACTAAACTATCGAGTAGAGTTAGAAGACTATGTATACCACCCGAAGAGTACATAATATACACTTCAGATACCCTGTATCGAATGATTCAATGGATAGAGGTTATAAGGTATCCCTTGCCCTCTGATATAGGACTGAAGATGCACTTAAAATTAAGAATATTACCGATTCCAGTCAATAGCTTCATGTTGTATTAAGACAACTACATGCTGAAGAGAGCCATGGAGTTAGTTAAGGAGATTTTTTTTATTGCTGTGCTATTATTTAGGTTTTTTTTTTTTTGCTATTGATAAAAAAAAGTTTGAAATCATATTCATTCATCTCAACTTTTTAAATACTTGATGTATGTAGATTGATAGATTGGTGTATGTTTTTGGAATATATTGATATTTTAAAAAAAATAGATACTTACGTTAATGCAATGCAATTATGTTTTTAATTCTTTTAGAGTTGAAAATTTTGAAAAATTCTTAAACGATCTCAAAGCTGGAACATTGGATCCTTACTTGAAATCTGAACCTGTTCCTCAGAATAATGATAAACCAGTTAAAGTTGCTGTGGCCAAGAATTTCGATGAAGTTGTGACTAATAATGACAAAGATACACTGATTGAATTTTATGCTCCTTGGTGTGGACATTGTAAGAAACTCACTCCAGTTTATGATGAACTTGGTGAAAAGGTAGGCTCCATATATTAATGTTTAATAATTGACATAAGTGGTGAATGAAAGATAATTATAATTATTTATAGTTAACCCAATATTGTATATTATGTGAGCTGGAATAGTCTTATATTATGCTGGTGTTGCACTTAAGAACTATGTTTATATAAAATTTTATTTTTATTTTAGTTAAAAGACGAGGATATAGCTATCGTTAAAATGGATGCAACTAGTAACGATGTACCCTCACCTTATGAAGTTAGAGGGTTTCCTACCATATACTGGGCACCCAAGGATCGTAAATCTTCTCCTGTTACTTATAATGTATGCAATTTATGATTAATTTTTTTTTCTATCTTTGTTATTTTATTAATTCCCTTTACTTTCTTGGTTTAATTTTGATTAGTTTTTAAATAGGATATGAATGGTAAGGTATAGCACCATTACTTATTTAATGGTGCTGTTAAATGTGGCAGATTGTATTTAATAATTTTATTGCAAAATGTTTAGTTTGATAGTTTTCCAGAAAAAGATTTATTTTATTATTATTAATTTATTTAAGAAATTGTTTTAATTTGTTTCTTCTTTATCTATTTTCAGAGTGGCCGAGAGTTGCAAGACTTCATTAAATATATTGCAAAAGAAGCAACTTCTGAATTAAAAGGATACAACAGGGATGGATCTCCCAAGACCTCAGATAAAGATGAGCTGTAATTCTAAAGCTTTTTGTTAATAATTAATGCTAATTTGAAATTTTTAAGCTGTCCCATGCCACTGTACTAATATTGTACTGCTATTAAGTTCATATTTTTTGTGTATGTTGTCAACAATTATTACAGTAAATTGGTGGTCAGCATTTTTATGTTTAGAAAAAAAAAATAGAAATATAGTTTCTGTCATTGAATAAATACAAGAAAACAAATCAAACAAATGTTAAAATAAAGCTTTAATCATATTCCATCAATGATTAAATATGGTGAAAAATAATTGAATAACCTAGAGATGAATTACAGTTTGACTTCGAAGGCTTAATTATAATGATGAATAGTCAAGGATATCGGTCTCTTGTTATAGTAATAATAATAAAAAGAGACTGATATTTGTTATTCTAATGAACAATTAATGAATTACATGAGAAACTAATAGTTGAAATGTGTTTCTGGGAAATTGCTCAGTAACAGTTCAATTATTTAGTCATTGTGCCTTTTTAGGTCCCGCCTGAAAAAACAAAAACAAAATAAAACTGAATTATGAACGGATGTAATAATAAATTGAAATAAATTATTTTAGATATGTTTCTTTCTAAATACTTCTAGGTTTGTGCAATATACCTGTACATTATGAATATAATGGCAATATAAATATGTACTTGTAGCAATATCTTGTATGATTTGAAATATGCAATCTATGAATTTTTAAGTATGATTATTGTTTTAATTAATTAAAAGCTAAATGTTTTAATCTTTCAAGATTTCTAAATTAGATGGTTATAAGGTGTACAAAGAAAAATACTAGTTAAATAATTCTTTGTTTACATGTCTGATAGTAAAAATAAAGTAATAGAATAATTTTGTGATTCTTTTATCTTTTTGAAAGCTTTTCATTTCATTTCATTGCATTATATACTACATGTTATTAATATGAGTTTTATTTTGTTTTGATCTAATAATTTTTGCATATTTAAATTTCTATTAATTTTTTGTCTTATGAACTGTAATTAAAATATTTATTAAATGAAAATATTTTAAAATAAATTTATCATTTCTTGTTAATAAATATATTTCCACACACTGTTATGTGATAAACTTACTCAGATTTTAAATATTGTGTTTATTTTATAAGATTTATCATTCCATTAATTTTCGTAGACTGAAATTTTATTTTATTTTTATGTTGTAAAATTATTTATTTTATTGATGATAAAATAAATAAATATTAATTTAGTTCTGGAAATGAAGCCATGAATTTTTAATGTAAATCAAATTAGGCTTTTTGTTTAAAGTTATAATTTATATTGTAGTACTATGGATATAGAAAAATTTAAAGAGTGATAGTACTTTGCTTATTTTTTAAAAACCAATTAGCATGAATTGTATTGATAATGATCCATTTGAAATTTAATATTCTGTTTTATAGAATCTCTTTAGCTAGAGTAAAATAGTTTAAATAAATCCACCTATGTAATTTAAATATTACTGATTCTTAAAAAAAAAATCATATTGTCTTTTAGTTAAAATTTCATTAAATGTTTTTGCACAATAAAGTTAAGGCTATTTTATAGTAAAGATGTTGAATATCTTCCAATAAGGCATATCCAGCTACTATATAATTTAACAATTCTAAAATATATTTATATTGAAGAGTAAACAAAATAAAATTTTATACAATTTCTAAAAAAGAAAATCACATTTTTCCTGTTGTCTCTTTTTTCTTTTATCCTTTGATTCCAAATTCTATGAGGATAGGTCTATGGGACATTTATTTGAAACTTGATTGAAATGTGTTAATTACTGCCAATTTGATTGGTATATGCCTGGCATTGGTTATTTTATAGTTATGAATTTTTATATATTTCCAATGATTACTAAAATATATGTCAAGAGTTTCATTTATTGGGATTATGTTCATCATTAGTTTTTCTTTGGCAGACTAAAATCTTTGTATTATTTAAATTATTTTTTTATTGTGATTTAACTTAATGAACAAACCAATGAAATTTGTACTTCTACGAATCAACATTTTTACCAATTTAATTCTAGATTTGAAGAATAGCTGAGAAGTTTCTATTACATGAAATCTAAGTTAATGGTTCTATATTCTAAAATAAGAGCACTGGCCTCACCTGCTTGCTTGTTTGCTATATGTAGATACTGCAGCCTTTTAATGGCTAAGTTTTGCTATCTAGAGATTTTAACCAGAGTAGGAGTAGTGCGATTAAAGTAGAACTATCAAAGTAATTCTTAGCAGTAATTATTTATTTAAAAATTAAACAGTTTTTTTTTGGGTCGAGGATGTCAAACCTTCATATTGAGTAATATATTTAATGTTGTGAGTGGGCTTACTGAAAATGTATTGTAGAAATATGGTGGCAGTACAGAAGAACAAATTACTGCAATTCACAATTAGTAGTTTTAATTATTTATAAAATAATTGTACTGTAAGTACAATTTTTTTTTCAAAAAAGTGAGTTTTATATAATTTTAATTTGGTTCATGCTTAATTGTTCATCACAAAAATAGTTATATATATTTTAAATTGTCTTTTATTCATTTGCTTAAAGCTGATGGAAAAGGGCAAATGCACAACGGATTACTCTTTCTGTATAAAAGTTTTCCCCCAAAAAATTAGTACTTCTCTATTGCAGTCAACGTTCATCTTATTTTTTTCCATGGGATTTGATTTTGTTGTTCTGTAATTATTTACACAGTTGATCTGCAATTGGTGATAGTATACCGATAATTATAATGCACCAAAACCTATCAATAGTAGGTCTTGTGAACTTTTATTTTTACTCAAAATATTTCACTTATTAAAATTAAATTTTAATTAAAATTAAAAAAAGTTAGAGAACCGTTATGGTGCTCTTTTAGTAATTTTAAGGGACCTTGGCAGCAACTTAAATATATTATAGTCCTAATAGGACATATGTATGCTGTACTATATTTTTTTTTTTTAAGATTCCTTATTTTTCACATTTTAATTTAAAGGTGAAACTATTTTGTAAGTCACTTATTTTTTTTTAAACAAAAAAAATATTTTTTAGTAGAATTTTTTTCTCAAGGTCATTAGCACCCATTCATAAAATTTTAAATTTATGAATTTTATTTTATAGATTATAGTTAAACCTTATTATATTCATATTGAAGTGTATACCTGTTTTGAGTGACTTAATTTTTAAGTTGTCTGTTAAAAGATTAAATAATCTTTCATATTATAATTTTTTTAAATTTTTGATTGTTATATAAATTTAAATATAATTAATAATTTGTTCAAGGAATTATAGCAATAAAATTTTACGATTAAAAATGTAAATTCTAAAATGTTGGTTAACACTCATACAACAATGTTATTCAAAAATATTTTTATTATTGTGATATAATGATCTAAATACTTCATTGTGACTTAAAAATAATATCTTTGAAATAAAAAATAAAATAATTAAACATGTAGGTCTGTTTTTCATCCTTATCACCAGAATAACACACATTACATCCTAATTTATTTAAAACAATTAATTTTTATCTCCCTCTTAATAGAATCAGTTAGTCCACTTGTGGTTATTTCGTAAGCCGGTTCTTACAAATGATAGGTGCATTTGTTACTTTTCAGTAACTCAAGTGATCATTACATTTGGATTTTTCCATGTGTATTCAGTCATATTGGTTAAGTGTACAGCAAATATGGTAAGGTGGCTTACATGGTCTTATTAATCCACATCTTCTGAATAATCATCTTGCTCTAAATAAAAGTAAGACCACCTTGACATATGGGACTTGGATACCCTCTGGACACTAATAGTTATAAATAGGTATCTAAAATTATGAATTTTAAGAGGTCTCTATCATTTTCGAAGTTAATTTATTGTCAAATTTAAAAATTCCTAGGTTTAAACAAAAAAACTGAATTTGTCTTTGTTTTTCGCGGAAAGTTTCTAATTTCGACGTCATATTCGTGTTCCTTGGCCTTGAAACATAATTGTATTAAATATCAAGTTAATCTGGCATCGTTCTAGGACCACGTCCATTAAAATCCGCCTTTCCTGCCCCTGTGCGCCGACCTGGATGGGCGCACTCGTTATGAGCGCCACCCGATCGATCTTCATGGGCTGTCGCCGCTGGTTGGAAACAAAATAAAATACTTAATTTTAACCTATCAATAAAGCAATTGTATTAGGGAAATGTCGAATTAAATAAAATGTAATTACTAAATAATATAAAACAGCTTAAGAAATAAATTTAACTTTTTAAGAGAGGGGATGACGTCATTGCCCGGAGGCCCCGAATGTCTAAGGCCAGCGCTAGTATAGTGAAATCGTAGGTAGTATGTATAAATTAACTTATGGCATGCTTAAGTAGCATAGCAGGTACGCCATAGCTAAGCTGTATTGAAGGGCTCCCACATTTCTAGACTGTAGTCAAGTACTATTCCGACCCCCCTTTTGGATCTCCACTGTGTGAGTGTACAGGGCCATGGAGAGAAACCAAGGGCTGTACGCAGCCCTATTGCATCTTTGTTGCCTATAACCCTTATATCCTTGACGTTATTCCATCCCGATTCTCAAATTTTCAACAGAACCTAGTACGCCATCCTAATCCCTTAGCACAATCCTTATCCAGCTTCAGTCAACCGTATAATCCTCCTCGAAGGTTGAAACAGTGCCCTTTAGATCTCTTGTTAATTCGTCACTGGAGTTCTGGCAATGGCCAGCTTCTCCTCTCAAGTCACGAGCGAGCGTGTGTGGCTTTATTGCCCTCTCTCAGTCTTCACTGGATTCCCATCTCAGTGATGCGGCTGAGAGAGAAGAGCTGCCATCTCTTATTGCCGTACCGAGTATTGCCGAGTTGGAGCTCCCTCGGATGACTGTAAATATTGTTAATAAGTATGAATGTGTTTTAATATTTTTATTTAGTCTCTGGAATCCCTAATAAGGAAAGTATTTTTTTGTAGGATTTTATATGAAGCTCTTCAAAATTTATTATCATTTTAAAGGGTCGGAAGTAGGATTTTGGTGAGGAGAGCATGTTAAATTTGTTTTCTTCCCCCTTTCTCTTCCTCCTAATAAAAAATAACAATACAATTTAAAATGATTTCACCACAATTTATAATAATGTTATTTTAGTTATTATATTTTTCAGTAAATTTCATCACATCACGATATAATTAAATTTATTTTGTTGATTAAATTGCGGCCTAAACAGTCGACAAGCAGAAAGATATATTTTTTACTTACCTTAAAATAAAATTTCATTCTAAATTTGCCGCTATCTCGATACAACAGACAGGGGCAATTGCCTCCCTTGGCTCTTCCCAAGTTCCCGTTCTAGCCTGCTATTAAAAAGTCATCTTTAATTGTAAGGGATGATAGGTAATGACTTTATTGGTTATATATCTATGTTAGGCACAGGCGGATCTACGGGTGGGGGCTTTCGCTCCTAAGCCCCCCTCCACAAAATGGTAAAATATATCCATGTCTTACGAAAAAAATATCTCTAAAAAGTATTATAGTTCGTTAATTACATTTAATAGGACTTAAAGAATCACTTAAACACTATTTCTTTTAATTAGTTAGTTTCTTTCTATTTCTTCCAAAGTAATTATCGTTATATATATATATATATATATATATATATATATATATATATATATATATATATATATATAACGATATATATACAGAAACAAAAAGTTTTCGGGCTGAAGATACGCCCCCCCCCAGAAAAAAAAAAAAATAATTCCTTGTTTGCTATTGATGTTAGGTTATCAGGAAATCAGTGACAAAAACGATACTTTACGTCGTGTTTTCTATTTCACAAAACTAAGCTTCAACTCAAATATGTGGGACATCCTGAAAGATGAAATAGATCTAAGAAAATGTGTACAGAAAACAAAATGATAGAAACATAATTTGAAAAAAAAATATTAGAAATGAAGATTGTAAGCTACAAAAAATAAGATAATAATAATAAGAGTAAATAAATAAGATAATAGTAATAAGACTTAATAAATAAGATAATAGTAATAAGAGTAAAGAATAACACCAGAAAATGATAAATATAAAAGTACAACAGAAGAAAAAGGTGTCACGTACAAATGAGATAACGGTTATATAAATATAATAATAATAAAAACATTGCAGTATGTTAAAAAAATGTTTTTGTGTTATAAATAAATGAAACTATTATTTTATTAATTTACTCTTGTTACTATTATCTTATTACTGTTATTGTTTACTCTTATTACTTCTATAAGTTTATGTTTATATTCTGTTCATTATACTTATATTTGGTGTCTTGAGGTTTTCATTTTTATAAATTAAGCCCGTTATTCCACTAACATTTTATTTAATTTTTTATTTCATTTTGACAACGTTTCGGCCGACACTAGGGCCATTTCCAAGTCTTAATTGATTCCTCCAATAAATCCCCATATTCAATGTAATTTTCATTTTTCTGAGAACAATTAAAAATGTCCTAATATTTAAGGCTTTATCCTAGGCCGTCTCTGGAGGGACTGAAATATTTATAACATTTCTCATGTTATTTTGCATTTTTTTAATTTTTAGCTCTGATGACAACACACATGTTATGGTCGAAAAGTCGGCAAACTCAATAAAGAAATTTTTGACTGCACATACTGACAATTTTTCGTTCTCATAATTTCAACAGTCAACTATATAGCTGGGGTTGATACTTTTATGGATTTTTTTTAAAAGGTTCCACTTCAACAGTTCCTGTGAAACTTTTTAGGAAAAAGGAAGGTCTAGATTTACGGTAAAAGTTTAACTTTTATTTATTTAAGTTCTTAAAAAAAGTTCCCTTAAATGAGAAATGGACAGTAATTGGGCTTAGATTAGTGCTTAATTTGTCTTAAATTAATTACACATGTTTCTTACGTGTCGTTTGTTTTAGTGGCTAAGAATAAAATTCATTTTTTAGATAGACTTTTTAGCGAAATCGACAGTACTTTTTATTTTATTTGTTTATTGAATATTACAACATCCTGTTAATTGGACATTGGTTATAGTGAGGTAAGATCACATTCTCACTATATGTACCAAAACAATATAAAATAAACTGAAGAAAAATAACTAAATAATAATTAAAAAGTATATACAATAAATAAATTAATATAATTTAAAAATAAGGAAATTAAAAACCTATAAAGGAAATCAATACCTATATACACTATTTACAATTAGGCGAGGGAACTCCGAGGCAGGCTTGTTCTTTTAACTATGGAAGGAAAAGCAGAACTCCAGATCTCTGCGCTACTCTATCAACCGCGTCACTGGCACTAAAGCCAGCGGAGAATCTGAACATTGCCATAACCCTATACAATTTATACAAACTACAGAAGGTCGCGGGGCCACTGTCGTGTTAACTCTCTTGGAGGAATATAGGGAAGGGTATTGCTTGATAGGGATTGTGCAAGAGGATTTGGAAGATATGTAAAGTTCTGGTGAAATTTGGAGAATTTTGCTGGGATGAAGTCTAGGACAAATGAGATGTTGAGGTCATACTGTAGGGTTTTGTTAGTTACATAGAAAGGTGCATCGACTATTGTTCGAAGTACTTTGGATTGAAAGGATTGGATGCGTTTGATGTTAGAAAATTTTGCTGTCCCCCACAATTCTAGTCCAAATAGGTTTTAGTATTGTCTTGTGGATCAGTAATTTGTTTCCAAAACGAAGTTTAGATTTTTATTTAATAGTCTGTATAGTTGGCCATATCGTCGGTTAAGTTCCTCTTTTTTTACTATAGTATGAGGAGTTGACGATTAATAGTCGTCCGATAGAACTTTTAAATAAAAGTTAAAAAAAAAAAATTAGTTCAATAAAGCATTTACTTCAAAAGTCGCAAGGGAAAAAGTTCTAGTTCCAAAAGAACTGAAAAACTATCGACGGTAAAAATCCCAGTGGTACCGAAACTTTTTAAAAATATAATTTATTTTTCCGTTCCAAGCCCTGGTTTCTACTTATAATTAAAGTAATAGTCTCACGGTTTATTAACTTCGTTGCAACTTCGTTAATTTACACTGAAAGTAGAGTGGTAAGTGAACGATTTATTTGTCGTTATTACATATACATATTATATTTTTTTTGTAGAACTTGTACATGAACATATGTAGATAATGCATCTTTAGAATTTTCTTTGAAGCTTTTTATAGTTCATTTTTTTGT